TAAACCATCTGAACCCCTCGATTAGATTCCAGTCTGTAACTCACTCCTGGACATCCATTACTCTATATATAAACCATCTGAACCCCTTAACTAGATTCCAGTCTGTAACTCCCTCCCGGGTATCCATTATTCTATACATAAACCATTTGAATCCTTTGATTAAATTCCAGTCTATAGTTCATGGATCCCTATTACAAATCCATTCTTCATGAGTTGAGTGATTAATTCATAGTGTTAATGATTTTCTATTGGAAACGAGTTGCTCAGCGTCTGTGAAAGCGGGGGAGAGGTGGGTGAGAGGGTTAATCCCCTTGCACTGGGAACAGGCTGCTCAGTGTCTGACTGTGAATGGGGAGGGGAGGTGGGTGAGAGGGTTAATCCCCTTCCACTAGGAAACAGGCTGCTCAGTGTCTGACTGTGAATGGGGGGGAGAGGTGGGTGAGAGGGTTAATCCCCTTCTACTAGGAAACAGGCTGCTCAGTGTCTGACTGTGAAAGGGGAGGGGAGAGGTGGGTGAGAGGGTTAATCCCCTTCACTGGGAAACAGGCTGCTCAGTGTCTGACTGTGAAAGGGGAGGGGAGAGGTGGGTGAGAGGGTTAATCCCCTTGCACTGGGAAACAGGCTGCTCAGTGTCTAACTGTGAAGGAAGGTTCTTGGGGGAGCGATTATTTATTTGCTGGTTTACAGGAATGAGCTGTGGATGCAGCAGCCGCTGAGAATGATGCTTCTTTCTTGTGGTGTTTTCAAGGAGATATCACTATGGAGCACGGATCTCCAGCTTTGATTTCTCCATGGCAACAGCCCTGAGAGCCACTGCGGCAATCCACCAGGTTGCTATGGTGACCTAAATGAGAGGCCTGCATGTGTCAGAGAAGCTCCAGCAGTTTCTATAGAGATAAAAGACCAGAGCGTTGACATCGAAAACCTTTCCTCCCACGCTCCCAGCATTGTCTCACTACTGGAGTCCTGTACAAGAGCTGTGTGTGGGTTATTAGTATTTCCAGAGGTGTGCAAGGTCACTCCTTCATACCTGCAGTGTTTCAGAACAAGAAATATCACCTTGATGTCCTTGAATTTTCAACAAAGCAAATATCTCACCTGCCTACTGTTCAAACTAACCTTTCCATTAACTTACATAGCAGCAAATGGTCAGAATGTATTACAGACTGGAATCTAATTGAGGGGTTCAGATGGTTTATATATAGAGTAATGGATACCTGGGAGTGAGTTACAGACTGGAATCTAATCGAGGGGT